CGACTCATCTTCCAGATGCTGCCAATGCTTCTGCACACACATGCACTCCCAAGCATAGACACATGAACAGACACACGTGTGCATGCCTGTGCATAACCTCTACGCATACATACACGAATACACACGTGAGTGTGCATATACATGAAGATGGCCTCACGGGATTGACGTGTGCATCCAGGAATTCAAGCAGCATGATCCCAAGCTTTCTTCCTATTCCCAACTAAAGGCAGAGCAAACACCCAGCTTGGACATCAAAGCAGGTGCTGCCATTCTCCAGTCCAAGGGGACGTCATTCAGGGTCCATGCTGTCTTCAGTCCTGGGCTGGAGTCCCACCCATAAGAACTCAGTAGGTCCCAGCACAACTGAGAGGAGGACAAGGGAAAGTGGGTGCTTAGAAAGGACAGAGGAAGAGTCCCAGGGAGGGAAGACAACAGGAGGGACACGCTGAGGGGTCCACTCATACTGGCCTGGGTTAAGTGGTGGGAGGTGTCACTCACTTCCTCACGGAGTGCTCAGAAATCCTGGACCTAGGCATTGTCCTTGTGGCACGCTGGCCCCATACGGACATACACAATCTCACTGATCCCGCTGAGGTGTGAGCTCAGGACTCCTCATTCTACAGTCCAGACCCTGAAGCAACCCAAGGTCGTGGAAGTAGGGGTGCAGGACTCCGCCCTGGCTACCCTCCTCGGGGCTACATCTTCTCCCTGCTGACACATCTACCCCAAAGATAATAGACTGGAATATTCCAGTAGCCTGAGTGTTCATGCGCGTGCACAAGTGTGCAGATGGACATGTTTGAGTGTTCATGCGCGTGCACAAGTGTGCAGATGGACATGTTTGAGTGTTCGTGTGTATGTGCTAGAGTATATCCATTCCTAAATGTGTGCCCATATGCACTGTGTGTGCACAAGTGGACATGAGGCTCTAAGCGCAGGTGAGCATGTCTGTGCTGGTGTGTGAGCGTAGGTGCGCAAGTATGAAAATGCGTGTAAGAATATATATTTGTGAGTGTGTTTGTGCATCAAATGTCTTGAGTGAGTGTGCACCGACTTGTGTTTCCATGTGCATATGCATGGGTGTGAGATAACAGTGAGCTTGAGTGTGCATGAAGATGTATCTGTGAGGGTGTGTGAGTGGGCAGAGAAGACTGTGGGCGTGTCCACCGCAAACACAAGCGTGTGAGTGGGAGAATACGGCAGGGCGCACAGGCAGCGCTTGTGTAGGTGCCTGCATGGGAGTGTCTGAGTACGCACCTGAAAGGGCGTGTGTGCTTGCATGTGAGGGGTTGCAGAGCAGGGGCAGATATGACTCATGTCCCCAGACACAGTGGAACAGTGTCCTAGAGAGTCCAGGTCCCTTCCTTGTCTCATCCAGCCCCTGAGATGAAGACAGGAGCCCGCAGCTGTGAGAACAGCCTCCCTGTCCCACACCCTGCTCTCCCTGTCCATGCTGAGGTCCCACTCCTGCAACCTCCGAGGCTGCAATTCCTGGCTTCATGGGGGTCTGCAGGCAAGGCGAAGGCGCAAAGCCCCAGGCCACAGGGACACCACCCGACCACAGCCACAGGGCCCTTCTGGCCACACTCAGTGCAGGGTGTCCTGTCATCCACACCCTAGGAGTGCCTTTCCATGTGTGATCTCAACACGTCTAAAGCACCTCACTCCAAACAGTTCTGGTTCACAGAGCTAGCAGACCACTGGCTTCAAGCAGCTGACTACAGCGGCAACATCCATGCCACTGATCCCAGATGGCTGGCAGGATAGGGAACGCCTGCCAGACACAGTCCACACATGGTACCCAGAAAACACAGCTGTCCTGTGACACCACAGAAAGAACTGCTGTTCCCGCTGACCGCGGGAGAAACTGAGGCACAGAGCTCGTTCTGCATCCCCACTCACAGTGCTTGGAGACCACTCTCTCTCAAGCCCACCTGCACCCATCCAAGTCAGCACCTGAGCCACCCCGATCCATGTCACCTGCGCACCCACGGAGCACAGCCCCGATCCATGCCACCTGCGCACCCACGGAGCGCAGCCCCGATCCATGTCACCTGCGCACCCACGGAGCGCAGCCCCGATCCATGTCACCTGCGCACCCACGGAGCGCAGCCCCGATCCATGCCACCTGCGCACCCACGGAGCGCAGCCCCGATCCATGCCACCTGCGCACCTACGGAGCGCAGCCCTTACCCCTGAGGCGCCAGACATGGTACAGCAAAGAGTGTGCATCTGAAGCCATCAGAGCCCCAGAGGGTGGTGCCCACAGCTTCGTAATATACAGAAAAAAGGCAACCTAGGGTTAAGAACCAACAGAAACTGAAGTACATTTCCTCTACCCCAACAGGCAGCCAGGCTGAAAACACATGATGTACACAAGTCCAATAGACCTGGGCTACTTCAAAGAGAAAAATAATAATAACAGTAATACAGACTCATCTGGGGCAAAAAGCAAACACACAGGGGCTATGAAGAAGCCCAGGTGAAGCTCAGAGCCAGTGGATGCAGGCCTGTCTGCCTCCTCTACCCCAGCCTCAGGAAAGGCAGGGCAGGAGACCGCTGTGGGTGGAGGCCTTGAGACAGAGGCTAGACCACTTTTCCCAAGAACGCCCTCCCTGTCAATAGCATGCCAAGCCGGTGACCTGCTCTCAGCTTTACTTCCCCCAGGCTTCAGGAACCTCCCTGAAGATGGGCAGTGGTTCTGGGAGGGACTTGCTCCCCTGCATAGGATAGGGCCTGCAGCCCAAACCTCCGTGCAAAGTGTAGGTCTGCTTTGGGCCTCTACCCTTGACAGGAAGCTAATCCTGTAGGTCTGAGATGGGGGTGCACACTTGACTCTGGAGCTTTCACAGGACTCAGCCCCCAGACTCCCGTGGCGACCAAACACCCTAAATCAGCATCCCCTGTGTGCCAGCAAGGGCTACCCTGCAGGGCTTCCTCAGTGACTCATTCTCTCAGATTCTTCTGCTTATCCACCCCATGCCTTCGTCTCCCTTACTGCCTTAGGAGGCAAGGGGGCAGCGCCGTCAGCAGAAGCTGTGCAGCAGCGGTGACAGGGTCTGAAGGGAGCTGGCAGTAAGGCAAGGAGGTACACCAGCACTCCCCGCAGCAAGTGGCAGCTTCTCGGGCATCTGGAACTCTAAGTGGCAGAGCTCACCGACAGACTGCAGGGGGCCTGGGATGTTCAGCTTTCCCTCAGTGCTTCCCTACCTTGGCCTCCATTTAGGTGTCAATAGGGGACTTGAATACAAATACTGTTGAGGATAGAAGGCTTTAGAAATGGCAAAATATGTTCAGCACATGCTTTCCTTACGGGCTTTCTAACCTTCACTGTCTCTGTGGGAAGTATCATCTTCCCCTGAGGGTGGGAGCGCGGCTCAGTTTCAGTGAGGGAGAGATTTACTTCAAATTGGAGACCAGTCACTGGGAAACCTGGGTAGTGGCCTCCTAAGAATCCTTGCTTCTACAGTGAACCTCCTTCCCCCACTGGAGTAACACGGGGTCCTCTATCCCAGAGGGAGGGGCACTGGCACCTTTGCAGACTCCTCCCTCTCTCCTTTTAAACCTTTTCTCTAAAAGGAATGCCTAGAGGCTGTGCAGGGGGGAAGATAACCAGTTTAAAAAGATAACAACACAACCTTTTAAGGCACCTAGAGAACCCACCATGGACCCGAGCCCTTGTCTCTCACTAGGCCAACAATGCGTGCTCAGCATTAGACCTGTCATCACGCCCCCGTGACAGGCACTGCTGCTCCCTGAAATCAGATTCTGGGTGTGACTGTTGATCCTATAGTCAGCAGGTACACCTCTCTCTCTCTCTCTCTCTCTCTCTCTCTCTCTCTCTCTCTCTCTCTCTCTCTCTCTCTCTCTCTCTCTCTCTCTCTCTCACACACACACATTATCCTCCCTCAATTTGGATTCTAGGCCCAGCCCAGCCCCCCACAACTTCCCATGTGCTCCCAAGGCTACCTTCTTTCCTTATATGGGTTCCCCCACCTATCTGTCCCTCATCCTCCTCCTGCTGTTCTGTAGCTAGACCTAGAAACAAAACCCGTCCCTCAGTCCCTCAGCTGCCAAGCCTGGGCAGGACCAGTGCGGGGGTGAGGGGTGGGGGTTGGGGGGGAAGCTTCCAAACTCCTGGGAACAGTCGCCTGGTCCACCCCACACCTGCTTGGGTTGGTGGTCTGGGAGAACAGTACCTCCAGAGTCCAGGAGGAGTCTCAAGAGCAGTTAAGTCCTCTGCCCTTGTCCCAGCAGCCACCTCAGGAGCCCAAGTTGAAAGAGACAGAGTCCCACCCAGGCTTTGTGGGGTCAGGGTCGGGGCTTCGGGGAGCAGAGGCCGCTGTGAAGCCCAGATCGCGAGTGACCTTGGCAAACTCCTCTCCTTTAGAGCAGGAGCCGGGTTCACAGCAGGGTAGTTAGCGATATTACAAGAATTCGAAGTCCATTTCTCTCCCGCTAACTGCTCCCTCGGGTCCGTGGAATTGAGAAGCAAGCCCCAGATGCGCTCCAGACGAGCTGGAGAGGAGCCCAGGGGCTGCGCGCTCCGCCAGGCTAGAAGCCTGGCCTCAAGACCGAGCACCCTCCCACTTTTCATCCCTCCACCGAGATGGGTGCGACCCAAAGCCAAGCCGCGGATCCGGCTTGGGGCCCCGCTTGGCCACACAACTACTGCCTGACCTTGGGCCTGTCGCTACCATCACCACACACACACACACACACACACACACACACACACACACACACACACACACACACACACTCACACCGGTCTCGCGTCTCCACCCTAAAGACGCTGTGGATTCTTACCGCTAAAGAAACCCCGGGTGGTGGGTGCTAACACTGACTGCATTCCCAGCTTGCTGAGTGACCTTGAACACCTGTACCTCTCTTCAGAACCTCAGTTTCCCCACCCTCCCCATAGGAAGAAGAACGTTAAACTCCAGTCCCTCTGGCAGGTGTGTCTCCAACCCAATGGGGGGGCGCGTGATGGCACTTACCGTCCTCCAGAGACGTGGGCGCTTGGCAGGGACCAAGGCGGCTGTGACCAGTAAGTGAGAGGCAGCCACCACCAGCCCGAAGCCGATGGCCAGTAAGCTGCGCACGGGCAGCAAGGCATAGGACACGAAGGTGACCAAAAGGAGTTGCCAAACCCCCTGCTCAGCAACCGCGGATCCCACTGCGCCTCCAGCAGAGCCCCTCGCCGGGCCACCCAGCGCGAAGGGGCAGCAGAGTAGCGCGAAGGTGAGGCTGAAGAACAGCGCCAGCTGACCGACCTGCTGCAGCTGGGGCACCTGCAGGGATCGGACATTGGTGACCACGAACAGCGCCAGGAAGACGATGCAGTGCACCGGGTGAGACCCCTTGGCGATGCCAGGCGCGGGTCCCGGCGCGCCCAGCAGTTCGGCCAGCGCCAGGGCACCCGCCAACAGGCTAAGCACCGCCAGCGCCTTCAGCGTGGCCGCCTGCTCCAGCCGCAGCGTGTAGCCGCGGAACAGCGCCTCCAGCTCGGGGCACGCGAACTCCTCGCCACACGCCCGGAGCCCGCGCCGACCGCCCGGCCCGGCCGCCCGCTCTGCGCCCCCGGGCTCGCCCGCGCCTCCGCCGCCGCCTTGGCCGCGCGGCGCCCCCGCCATCTCAGCGCCATGCAGCGGCCGCGGCCACGGGCGCGCCCCTCGCCGGCCCGGGGCGCCGGGGCGCGGGCGGCGGCGCCGGGGCGGGCGGGCGGCGGGCGGCGAGGCGCCGGGGCGCGGGGCGGGCGGAGTTGGGGCGCCGGCTGCCCAGCGCGCGCGCCCCGAGCGCGTCCCCCCTCCCGCCCGCCGCGCCTGCGCACTGGCTCCCGCCCGCGCCCCGGCAGTGGTCCTTCGCGGCGACCGCGCTGCGACAGGCGAGCCCCACGAACCCCTGTCCCGGGCGGGCGGAGTCCGCGCCCAACTCTGCGCCCCACGCCTCACACGCTCCAGGGGCCACGTGACCTTGGGTACGGTTCTTGCCTCTCCGAGCCTCGATTTCCCCACCTATGCTCAGGGGGAGCCCACCCTCCCAACCCCAGGAGTCTGTTTTGGCGTTAAGAAAGCCGAAATTCCCAGCAGAGGGAGGAACAGCTCTGCCAGATGTGTGTCCCCTCCCCAAACAGAACCAGGTCACCCTAGAGGAGCCCTCACTCAGCTTTAGACTCAGTCAGTGCCCACCGAGAAGCCCCAAGGATCCCTGGTCACACATGCAGGATGCTCTAAGTGGCTGGTTTGCCCACCGCCTGGGTGGGTGGTGGAAGCTTCTGCCTGTTGACCTGAACAAAAATAGAGGCCTGCAATGTCCAGGGAAGCTGTGAGGTGCAGGAATGGGTGAGAGCTGGAAGGGAGATAAAACGGCAAGGCAGTCTCCCTAAATAGGAGCTGGCCGTGCGAATAATGGCAAGACGTTTTCTTCCAGCGGGACAAGTGGCAGGGACAGATCCGCTGCCGACGCCTGATGTTTGCACCCAGTGAAGTCCATTCACTAATGAAGGGACCATACAAAATTTCATTTGGTGCTCAGGATGGCCCCTTGAGGTCTCTGCCTCCCTTCCCCTTTAGAGAGGGTCCCAGGCCACCCAGAGAGTAGAAAGGATGCAGAGCCCTTGCTCCTCTGGTGCAGCTCATGGGTGCATCAGGAGCCGTGTCTCTCACAAAAATTGTGCAGCCCAGACGCTCTTGCGTCTACAGGAGGCCCTACGTCCAAATGTGCAATTTCAATCTATCCTGCTCAAACTCTGCTCCGGTTCATAAGACACCGGGGATTCTGAGGGCAAGAACCACTGTCCTATTGTATAGGTGCAAGGATTAGAATTTGAGCTGTTCCTGTTTTTCTTTGGAATTAGTATTAGTTTGAGCACCATGAACTTGTCATTTTTACATGTCCCCCCAGCCAACACCTCCAATAGCTCTAAATCAAGGGCTTCTAGAACCGCTTACTAACTAGCTAATCCCTCTTCTTGGAGCAGACTGGCCCGCAGGACACCCTCAGTGCACAGCCTGCCTGGCACCAGCCTGCACCCAGGCTGATTGTTTCCACCCCAGTCCTTGCTGCTCCCATGAAGGTTCACACCTACTGTTCTGCAGCCTCATTTTCTGGTCATTTTTCTCTCTGTGTTCTTTTGGCTGAAACCCATGGAGAGCATCAGCTGATGCTGAGAAGATGGTCTGGCTCCATCCTTAGGTCACTGTCTTGAAAAGCACCACTGCTACCACCTGACTCCCAATTGCCTCTAAATACTAGCAGAGCCTGCATGATTTCTCAAGTGTCTGCATCAGGGAGAATCTCTTGTTACTTAGTGTTGTGTGGTTTTATATCCTAATGATTTTATTAAGGCAAACCTGAGCAGCATCCAAAAGTGTTCCTACTACATGAAGGTGAAAGACATAGGGTGAAGTCATTTTAAATGCAAAGTTCATAAGTAAACTGCACCTACTTGGTTCTGTGTTGACTGGCAATTCTTCCTGCAGTCAAAAAAAAATTTTGGTAGAGCTTTTAAGAGAACCTGGAGGACCTATATTTGGGTTTGGAAAGAAGATGGGTCATGGCATGACCCTTTTGCTCTCTGCTGGATGTGAGGGTAATCTGGCTGCGACATCTGGCTGGCTAGGCGGGTGTCCCCTTCCTCCCTCACCGCTCCATGTGCGTCCCTCCCGAAGCTGTGCACTCGGTCGAAGAGGATGACCTTCCCCGAATAGAGGAGGACTGGTCCCCAGTCCAAGTTATACGAGTATCTGCGCTGCCCTGCTAGAACCTCCAAACAAGCTCTCAAGGTCCTTTTGCTCTCTGCCACAGAGGCCCATCTTCTTACATCTGTCTGTCAGACCGTACTTAACATCTTGGAAAACAGCCCTTGTCACCTTTGTTTTGTTGGAGAACCAGACTCAGAAATGCTCAGGTGTTGGCTGAGTCTCACAGTCTAGAGGGAGTACGGGGTTCCTCACTTCAAGCGCTTCTAAGGTTGGAAAACTTTACAAGCATCCGTAATTGCTATTGTCAGTACGAGCTTGTACCCGGATGTGCTAAATGCTCTCACACTGTGTGCCAGACTGGAAGAAGGGCTTCAATGAACAGTGTTCAGCCACAGCAAACAGGAGAGTCACATGCAAAACAGTGGGAGCAGGGGCGGTGGATGCCACCCATGTGACCGCTGTCCTTATCATCAAAGGAGGAAATCTGGGCTGCTTCATACACAGAGAAAGCACCATGAATGACACTGTCACAAAGCCAGGATCTACTAGAGTGTACAGAGAAAGACCTAGAACAAACCTTCCCTGACAGGGTCACACAGTGAAATTCCAATTTCCTGTGGAGTATCTGCCACTCCTAAAGATGCCAATACCTGGAGGGACCGTGTGGCTAGCCAAGGGTTTGTATATACGCCTGAGAGGCCAGAATCTTGGTCACTTCCCAGTCACTACAGTGTCTCTCTTCCCCGTCACCCACCCTATTCTCTCTCTAATAAGAACTAAATTTAATTTAAAAACTCACAGTGCACTTTGAGCACTTCTGTCCAATGGGTGTGTTTCAGCCCCAAAGTCTTCTCTTCCATCCATATGGCCACCCTCCGCTGGTCATTCTTACAAACTTCCTACGTGTTTTTGTACCGACGCATTGAGACCGGGTAGGATAGGATCATCCAGTGAGGCAGAGTGGGCCTGGCCTGAAGCCTCCGCCCATCTGACCCAGCCCCAGCTCCTGTCGTGTCCACCCTAGCAGGTTATGGGACATCATGGCTGAAAGAAACTGAATGCCTGAACCACAGGACTGAGGTAACATCTCAAGGCTACCTGTGCCAGCTGTGGGACTTAAAGCAAGCTGCTCCCCCTGTCTGGATTCTGACTGTGAATTGTGGATTTAATTCTAGCAAAATGTGGGAAGAGAGAGCCACAGACACAACGGTCACCCTGCCTATGCATAAAACAAAGGTGATTTTGTTCTACCAATTCAGTAGTGGGGGAGGGTCACTCAAGCTCTTGATTCAGACATCGAGACAGTGGCCCTAGTAGCTAGAGAACTGTTTTAGCTCACTGATTTCCACTGATTGCAGCCAGAGATCCGAATTTAGAAAAATGTGTACCATAGTTTATTCCCACTCCATATTTGGAGACTAAGTTTCCCTGTGAACCTGTAGGGAGATTAGTGTCTACTCTAATTGCCTTTGATCCACTGCCAACATGAGAGACGTTGCCAGCTCTGTGACTATAGGATGCTCAGTAAAGTTAATGTCGCCACGCTAATTTTTAAGTGATCAAATACACACGCGAAGGTCTCAGAATAGTGGAGCAATCTAAGCGTTTGACATGCTAGGCTCAGCCTTGAGCAGGCTGATCCCTGCTGTGGGGCCAGTATGGTTTGTCTTCACGTAAATTCACGTTGGGACTTAATTAGCTCATGTAGCAGCATTCAGAGGTGGGCTGCAGTAGGAGAGTATGGGTCATGGGTGAAGCGTCAGAGGTGGGCTGCAGAGACAGTTAGCATTTCTGTGCCCGCCCTTTCCCAGCCCTCTGAGCCCCTACTCACTCCTCTTCCACTTTATGCCATGTGTGAAACAACATGAAACCTCCAGAAGCTTAACAAGGTCTGGCATTGTGTTCTTAGATTCCCAGCTTTCAGAACTGAGGGCCAAACAAACCGTTTTTCCTTATAATGTCACCATCCCTGGACATTCTGTTATAGCAACAGAAAATGGACTAGGACAGGTCCTGGCTTGCTGCCTCCATCCCATTTCTCCCAGCTTCATCTGATGCACTCGTCCTATGTCTACCCTTCTGGGCCTTTCCTGTGTGCTTTCTTGGAGCATCGGGGCACAGAAAGGGGATTTCCACTTCCCTTGACAACCATCAGAAACCATCTCATGCATCTGCTTATGACTCTTCCTTTCAAAAGGACAAAACAGAAAAGAGCTGACTCTTACTACTAAAGGTCTGGGGTGGTCACAGCTGTGCCCATTCCAGAGCTCTGGAGCCCAGAAATGCTACAGATGGGGCTCCCACTGCCACCTGCCAGGCTTGGACGTGATGACCACATGAGCAGGTGGGAGGTGTGGGCTCTTAATTCTTTGCTCCGGAGGCTGGGGATAGTACCAGATAGCTGGAACCGACAACGAAGTGTTCCAGCCCTCCAGGCAGGGCAGCAGCTGCACAAGGAGCCATGGGTAACAAGCAGCAGACACCACGGAGCACAGCAGGCAGGGTCTGGGCTCATCGACTCGGCCACTTCGAGCACCAGTGTCTTCTGGGGTTCCCTGCGGCACAGAAAAAGGGGAAAGCAGCTGTTAGACAGCCAGGTTCATGCTGTTTCTTTAGCACATCCCTAGAACGTGGCATCCATTTCATAAACCTTCCATGGGAGACACAAACACCTACCCACTGTGATAGGGTGCCGATTTCAGACCAAAGAAACAGCAGTCCCATGCAAACTCCGGCTGGCGAGCCAGTGAGTGTGTGATGATTTCCCCATGGCTGCAGCGGATGGAGTCCCCACTTCAGCTAACTCCACCCTCTCTGTACTCCAGCTCCAGACAGCTGCAGCCTGGACAGACCTTCACGCGGCTGGGAGGGAAGCGTAGGAGGGACGGTAAAAGCTCAGTCGAGGGCCTAATGATCCTCCCTATCCCTTC